TGCTTGGACTATTTCAGAAATAGAATGGGGAATCCGTTTACTTTCGCGGATTTGTCGTGTCGTGTTGCGCCGCATCCTGCATATGTAGACAATTTCACTGATTATAATAGCTACTAATGTTTTTTGACACATTGCGTTGCGCGCGGTTCGTGTCCGATTTCTTTCTCAGCTGTTCATGTTCACTTAAGAACCATCTACTTTACAAGGATACTCACTGAGATGGGCATTTTTGACATAATTTTGTGTGAATTTGTCCATTCAAGTGTAGGAAGGAAGCAGAGCTCAAGACATGGCTTTCAGGCTGGGGCTTTGGATGTTTAAACTTCCCACACAGCGCGAGTAACGTATGTCCTTTCGTGTGCTCTAGCTCTTGAATATTTACATTGCAAAGGCTTAGACTTTTGTGATGAAGCAGCACTGACCCATCAACTGTACAGAGTGTCGTTCACATTTGTTCTCACAACATTGCACTGTTAGAATTTATAAAACTTTTACCAGCCATCTGGCGACTGACACGGTTTCATATACTTGTCAAAGCCGATTTTTACTCGCATTTGGCGCTTGGCGAGAAAGACTCATTAGCTAGAAACACTAGAAAAGACTCATTAGCTTTGTGACCACAGAAATCTTACAGAGCATTTCTCAGAGGGGGTGTTTATGAACATCTAAAACCACAAACACATTGTACTAGGACAGACAGAGAGCAAGCAAGTGAGAGAGAGCCAGCATCCAGCATGCTGGTAAAATTATGCTGTATAAATCTTTGCACTCTCCCCCTCACAGCTTGGATTTAAATTTTTCATGGCGGAGGTGTGCTGGAATGGACCTGATCGCCAATTGCTGGTCTGCACTCTACATTATTCACTAGCCCCCTTATAGCTGACTTCATTTATGTTGACAACGTACTTGAAGGGAGATTCTTGTCTTCCAGTACTTTCCAGATTTCCTGTGTTTCTGTCCACTGTGCTCTTGAAGAGACAGATCCTGACAGAGCTCTTCCCTTTCAACACTGAATCATTCATAAAGCATTGGTGGCTGCCAAGAATCAAACCCTACTATAATCACACATATGTACACTGATATATTGCCTGCTCGTAATCCATGATATGTGGACCTGTCATTTTTGTCCCTTACATGGCCCTTGACTGCACACGAATGTGTATTAAACCGAAATCAATCTATCAAATTTGTCAGTGAAAAGTCAGTTGCAGTTCTGTTTAAAGGGATAGTTCACTCAAAAATGAAATCCAGCCATCATTCACTCACCCTCACGTCGTTTCAAATCTGTATGTCTTTCTTTCCTATCTTCTTTTGTGTACCGAGATATTTTGGGAAATTCTTGTTTTTGTGTGTTTTTGGTTTTTGTTTTCTTGGGTCCATTCATTGAAAGTCAGTATGGTTCCATGTTGTTTTGGACCCCACTGACTTTTATTATATGGACCAAAAAAAGTTCTAAAATATTTGTATGACTTTCATGTCTATGTGGAACACAAAAGGAGATATTTTGAAAAATATATAAATTTTGTTTTTTGTTTTTTTACGTGGAACACAAAAGCAGATATTTTGGGAAAAGGGTCTGTTTTCTTTTTTCTTTTTTGTGTGTGTGTCCATACAATGAAAATCATAATGTTCCCATGGTTTGGACCCCATTGACTTTGATTATATGGAAGAAAACAGCTCTTTAATTTTTTTCTTTTATTTCTGTGTGTGTGTGTGTGTTCCACAGAAGAAAAAGTGATACAGGTTTGTAACAACACGAGGCTGAGTAAATGTTGATGAATTTTTATTTGTGGTTGAACTATACCTTTAAGCACAGAATTAGTATAGATGTTTAAAACAGCACTGATGCTATTTTCCAGTCAGAAGAGAGCATGCACTGCCCTTCCCAGACTCCCTGTGGGAATGATATCAGAGACCTGAGAGGATGGGTCTTACCTCTGCCATGGGCACTCCCTCTGGGGGACGGCAATGCAGCACAATCATGCCCTTGATTGGCACTTCCTTCCCTTGAGGATCCTGCTCGAAGTTCTTGCGGAGGTCTGTTTGAAAAGATAAGAGGCAGCTGTCACAGCGGCCAGAGTTCGATCCAATATTTGGCCTATTTATGCCAAATGCTTTCATCACTCAGCATCCTGCTCTCTCTACGCCCCATGCCCTTCGTTTTGGCAAGCTTGGAAAGGCAGGGCAAGAGAGCAGGAGAGTGCAGGCATTCTCAATGGTGCTCTGGCCATCTGCTAGAGTTGCAGGTGTCATTGGTTCAGTTCATTAATACAGTTCTGACTGCCTCATCCCCATTGTACTTGTAAAATAAAATTATTTATTTATTTCTGTGCACTGCAAATTCTTTCAATTTGTAGAAAGAAAGAAAGAAAGAAATACAAAAATGGTCCAGCTTCAGATAGGATAAAAACAAATTTCCCTGTATTAAAGTGGAATAAAAAGTTGCCATTTGATAACAAATGCCAGTGATAAAATAATAAAACTTAATAATAACTTGACAATGATAATTAATGATAATTATAATTATAGCAAATGCTAATCAAAAATAAATCAATCTGTCAACAGACTACAAAATGTAATTATGTTTTTTTTTTGGCAATAATATTATTAATTCAAACTTTTTAATATGCTTTCAGATTTAAAGCATTTAGTGCATCGTTTAAGAAAAGAAAAAAAAGGAAATACATCAAAGAGATTTCTGCCACTATCTCACAGCAGTCCACTTGTGTTTAGATCATGTATTTCAATTGTAGGTCATGTTTCATGCATTACTCACAGGCTATCCTCACTGTGGCCTTACGGCTCTTCGAGGTTCCTAGGTGACTCCAGGCCACACACAGGCACCAGTAGTCTTCTGGACCATGGAAATCCTCCACCTGCTGCCTGGTAACATTGATCGTCACTTCACGGATTTTCAGCCCTGTATAGCAAGAAACACAAAGCATTAACATCTTCATCTGAATTCACTTCATGTCAATGCCCATTAAGTATTGACTTTCGGTGTTTGGTCACTTCAGTCAGGTTCCTTAATGGCAACTGACCGAAAGAATATACACTGGGTGTCAGAAAGATGAAAGGGTACAAGAGCTCTATGAATTCTGAGAATGAAGTTTAAAAATATCTTATGCATTGTTATTTAAAAAAAAATCTCTACGACCAGTGAAAATTTAATGGCTTCGGGTTGCTTTTCCCTTCACGAGCTGCCCTACATAACTCCAGTGTAATTTCTCTCTGCTCCAAGTTCTTGAGTGCATTACTGATAAAAACCTTTTTTCTCTCCCTCTCCCACGAGGTCCTTCCTCCTAGGTGACTCCAGGCCACACACAGGCACCAGTAGTCTTCTGGACCATGGAAATCCTCCACCTGCTGCCTGGTAACATTGATCGTCACTTCACGGATTTTCAGCCCTGTATAGCAAGAAACACAAAGCATTAACATCTTCATCTGAATTCACTTCATGTCAATGCCCATTAAGTATTGACTTTCGGTGTTTGGTCACTTCAGTCAGGTTCCTTAATGGCAACTGACCGAAAGAATATACACTGGGTGTCAGAAAGATGAAAGGGTACAAGAGCTCTATGAATTCTGAGAATGAAGTTTAAAAATATCTTATGCATTGTTATTTAAAAAAAAATCTCTACGACCAGTGAAAATTTAATGGCTTCGGGTTGCTTTTCCCTTCACGAGCTGCCCTACATAACTCCAGTGTAATTTCTCTCTGCTCCAAGTTCTTGAGTGCATTACTGATAAAAACCTTTTTTCTCTCCCTCTCCCACGAGGTCCTTCCTTGTTGTCTGTGCCACAGATCGTTAGCAAGATGAAAATAGCTAGCTGAAGTTGCATTAGCCTTAAAGCACAAGAGCCAGAAACGCTTGTTACCCCTGAGGCTTCATTTAAGACAAATATCTGCAGATGAGATGGTCACAACCTTAACCTTTCAAACTCTCAAATCTATGATCATTAAAACTGTAGAGATGCAATTTAAATGTTCCTTGATTTTCAAAATGTCTGACTTCCCTGCTGTGAGCCTAAAGTCACTTTTTGCAGGTTTGTTGCATCAGTAAAGGCTTCCATTGTTCATCGGTTTTATCTTCTACCTGTTTCTTCAGTATCTCTACCCTACAAACTTCAAAGAAAAAAAATCATACAAATAGGATTAGAAGCAAGATGCAATATGTTGAGAACCCTAATAAACAACCCAGATTGTTTGCTCCTCCACTTGAACATTGTCTCAAACAACTCTGTAATCTGGATTGCTCCTGTACTGTGTGCCTCCTAACAACGGTGCCAGGGACCATATCTGAACATTTTTACCAGATAAATATCAAATAAATCTGAAAGTGCCTGGTAACTACACAGGGATTATTATTGCGGCTCAAAGATAAAATGATGGCATGCATTTTATGTAAACATCAGTTCAAGAAGGCTCAGCTCATTTTGAAACATTTAATTTTTTCCGTATAAGATTGGGATGAGCCCCAGTGTGGTGGGATAAACAGATAAAATGATGCTGACATTGTATTTTGAATTTTGCACTGGAAGATGGCCACAAAGAAGCCCAAACAAACATGACAGTTCTCGTTTGGAAGTGTTCCATTTCGTATCCTCAGTTTTACTCTCAAACGTTGATAATAATCAGCATATTTGAGTGATTTCTGAAGGATCATGTGACACTGAAGATAGAGTAATGGCTGCTGAAAATTCAGCTTTGCCATTAGAGGAATAGTTTACATTTAATAATACTGCACAACATTACTGTTTTTACTGTATTTTGATAGATAAATGCAGCCTTTGTGAGCATAAGAGACTTTCAAAAACAACAACAACAACAAAAGAAAGAAATAATAATCTTTAAAAAGTTGATCCCAAACGTTTGAAAGCTAGTGTATGTCAATCCAGTGAAGAGGATTTCAGATCTGAGCAATCACACTAAGGATTATAAGGAGAACTTAAATAGTTACTGAGGCAGCTAAAACAATGCAAATTAGATGGGACCTCTGCCTCTTTACTAGTCATGTTTCAGCACATCTCAGGGTCACTTTGAACAGTTAGATTCTGATGCAAGAATCATTATACAAGTTGCATTTCTGGTTGGTTGTTTTGAGAGTAAATATTGCAACATTAACAGGCCAGAATGGTTGACTAGTCTGTTTTAAAGTTTTAAGAAAGATTTTTTTTTTCTTTTGTGGAAGGGATGCAGCTTCTCAGAGAGGGGTTTAGCATGCTGACAGTGTGCTGTGCTTCAGGGTTTAGCAACAGTAACTGCTGGACTGTCAGTGCATCCATCTGTCAGGGGATCCATCCCTTTAAAGCACCACTGCTCTAGCCATCAAAGCACCACTTTTGCAACAAATTCACCACCTTCAACAAAAAAAGAATTACTGTTTGATTCTAATTTTCCGTTATCAGTTGTAGCAGTTGTGGTTGTATCAACAACAGATCACTAGATGAAGAATCAGAGTTGTATTGCAGGGAGCCATGTAGAAATATAAATGAACGATGCATGGTTCTGCAGTAAGCATGCAAGTTACAAGTTTGTAAAATTACTGCCAGTGCCAGGTACGTAAAGCAGATGATGAATATACTTAAAGGGGTCATATGATGCGATTTCAAGTTTTCCTTTCTCTTTGGAGTGTTACAAGCTCTTGGTGCATAAAGAAGATCTGTAAAGTTGCAAAGACTAAAGTCTCAAATCCAAAGAGATATTCTTTATAAAAGTTAAGAGTCAGCCACAAATACACCAAATAATGATCTTTAAAATAGCATCATATGACCCCTTTAAGATTCACAAATACCCAGGCCTGGGGAGTAACGAAATACATGTAACGGTGTTATGTATTTAAAATACAAAATATGAGTAACTGTATTTCATAATAATTACATTTTAAATAGGTGGTAATCAAATTACAGTTACATCCGAAAAGTATTTTAGATTACCAAAGTGATTACTTTAAATTTTTTATGTCATTTCTTCATTTAAAGGGGTCATATGATGCGATTTCAATTTTTCCTTTCTCTTTGGAGTGTTACAAGCTGTTGGTGCATAAAGAAGAGAAAGGAAAAATTGAAATCGCAACATATGACCCCTTTAAAGTTGCAAAG